CCAAACCGTGTTGTTCTGCCCCTGGCCCCTTCCAAATCTCATACCCTCACATTTCAAAACACAATCATGCCTTTCCAACAGTCTCCCAGAAGTCCAAGCCCAAAGTCTTATCTGAGACAAGGCAAGTCTCTTCCACCTATGAGCCTATAAAATCAAAAGCAAGTTAGTTACTTCTTAGATACAATGGGGGTACAGACATTGGGTGAAAACACCTATTCTAAATGGAAGAAATTGGCCAAAATGAAAGGGCTACAGGCCAAAGAAAGGCCTGTAAGGCTGAAAAGGGCTAAGTCAGAAAACCAATAGGGAAATCATATCTTAAAATTCCAAAATAACTTTGGACTCCATGTCTCAAATCTAGGTCACGAGGTCCAAAATGATCTCCTTTGACTACATGTCTCACATCCAGGTCATGCTGATGCAAGAGGTTGGGTCCCATGGCCTTGTGCAGCTCCAATCCTTGGCTTTGTGGGGTATAGACCCTCTCTCAGGTTCTTCACTGGCTGGCATTGAATGCCTGTGGCATGTGCCACCATGCCTGGCTAATTTTGTAATTTTTGTAGAGATTAGGGACTTACTGTGTTGCCCAAGCTGGTCTCAAACTCCTGGTATCAAGCAATACTCCCATCTTAGCCTGCCAAAGTGCTAGGATTAAAGGCATGAGCCATCACACCAACCTCTGTGCCATATTTTATATGAGGCAGCACAGAACACAGTAGTTTGTTTACACCAGCATCACCACAAACATATGAGTAATATAGTGCACTATGACATCACTAGGAAGTAAGAATTTTTCAGCTTCATTATACTCATATAGGACCACCCTAGCATATGCAGTCTGTCATTAACCAAAATGTTGTTATACAGTGTGTGACTGTTTTTAAAAAGTGTTCAACATCATTAGACATCAGGGAAAGCAAATCAGAATCACAATGAAAGAATACTTCACACCTGTCAGAATGGGTATTATCAAAAACACAAGAGCTAACAAACATTGGAAAGTATGTGGAGAAAAGACAATCCTTGCACATTATTGGTAGGATATAACTTAGTATAGTCATTATGCAAAATACTATGAAGATTCTCAAAAAGTTAAAACTAGAACTACCACATGATCCAGCAATCCGAGTTCTGACTATACAAGGAAATGAAATTAGCATGTTGAAAACATATCTGCACTCCCATATTCATTGCACCATTATTCACAAGAACCAAGATATAATCAATCTAATTGTCTATCAATAGATGGATGGATAAAGAAAATGCAGGATATATATACACACACAGACACACACACACACACACACAGAGAGAGAGAGAGAGAGAGAAGGCAATTATTCAGCCTACAAAATGAAGAAAATCCTATCTTCTGCAACATCACTGTGAACCTGGAGGACATTATGTTAAGAGAAATAAGCCGGGCACAGAAAGACAAATACTGTGTAGTGTCACTTGTATATGGAATATAAAATGTCAAACTCATAGAAGCAGAGAACAGATGGGTTAAGGGAAATCGGGAGATGTTGGTCAAAGGGTATACAGTTTCAGTAATCTAGAATAAGTAAGTTCTGGAGATACGATATATGATATAGCAACTATAATTAGTAATACCATATTATATACTTAAAATTTGCTTGGAAAGTAGACCTTAAATGTTCTCACCACAAAAAAAATTTATTGTGGTGGAAATGTAAATAAGCTTGATTATGATAATCATATCATAATGTATATGTATTTCAAAACATCACATTATAGACCATAAATATGTACAATTTTTGACAATTACACCTCAATAAATCTATATTAATAAATCTGGAAAAATCTCTTTGATTGTCAATTATTAAACCACTAGGGGCTTTGGAGACACTATGCTTCCATTTCAATTCCAGCTCTGCTATGTGCTAATTGAAAGATTTTAGGCACTTTCTTTTCTTTTCTTTTCTTTTCCTTTTTAATTGTAATTTGGGCTCTGGGGTACATGTGCACATCCTGCATCCTGCAGGATTGTTGCATAGGTACATAGATGCCATGGTGGTTTTGCTGTCTCCATCCCCCAACCTTGGCCTACATAAGGCATTTCTCCTGGTGTTATCCCTCCCCACCCCACTCTGACCCTCCCCTCCCTTCGCCTCCCCTCCAGAATCCCACCTAGCCCAGTGAGTGTTGTTCATTTTCCTATACCCAAGGGTTCTCATTCTTAATCATCCACCTATGAGTGAAAACATGCGGTGTTTGGTTTTATGTTCTTGTGTCAGTTTACTGAGAATGATTCATTCCAGATTCATCCATGTCTCTACAAAGGACAGGAACTCGTCGTTTTTTTTATGGCTGCATAGTATCCCATGGTGTACATGTGCCACATTTCTTTGTCGAGTCTATCATTGGTGGGCATTTGGGTTGGTTCCTTTGCTATTTTAAACAGCACTGCAATGAACATACCTGTGCCTGTGTCATTATAATAGAACCATTTATAATCCTTTGGGTATATACCAGTAATGGGATTGCTGGGTCAAATGGAATTTCTATTTCTAGGTCCTTGAGGAATCACCACACTGTCTTCCATAATGGTTGAACTAATTTATACTCCCACCAACGATGTAAAAATGTTTCTTTTTCTTCACATCTTCTCCAGCATCTGTTGTCTCCAGATAGTTTAATGATCGCCATTCTAACTGGTGTGAGATGGTATCTCAATGTGGTTTTGATTTGCATTTCTCTAATGATCAGTGATGATAAGCATTTTTTCATGTGTTTGTTGGCTACATAAATGTCTTCTTTTGAAAAGTGTCTGTTCATATCCTTCACCCACTGTTGAATGGGTTTATTTTTCTTGTAAATCTGCTTTAGTTCTTTGTAGGTTCTGGATATTAGTCCTTTGTCAGATGGAGAGACTGCAAAAATTTTTTCCCATTCTGTTGGTTGCCAGTTCACACTTATGATTCTTTCTTTTGCTGTACAGAAGCTCTGGAGTTTAATTAGATCCTATTTGTCTATTTTGGCTTCTGTTGCCATTGTTTTTGGTGTTTTAGCATGAAGTTCTTGCCTGTGCCTATGTTCTGAATGATGTTGCCTAGGTTTTCTCCTAGGATTTTTATGGTGTTAGTTCTTATGTTTCAATCTTTAATCCATCTGGAATTAATTTTTGTATAAAGTGTAAGGAAGGGATCCAGTCAGCTTCCTGCATATGGCAAGCCAGTTTTCCCAACACCATTTATTAAACAGGGGATCCTCTCCCTATTTCTTGTTTTTGTCTGGTTTGTCAAAGATCAGATGGTTGTAGATGTGTGGCATTGCTTCTGAGGCCTCTGTTCTGTTCCACTGGTCTATATCTCTGTTTTGGTACCAGTACCATGCTGTTTTGATTACTGTAGCCTTATAGTATAGTTTGAAGTCGGGTAGCATGTTACCTCCAGCTTTCTTCTTTTTTCTTAGAATTGTCTTGGCCATGTGGGCTCTCTTTTGGTTCCATATGAAGTTTAAAGTGGTTTTTTCCAGTTCTGTGAAGAAGGTCAGTAGTAGCTTGATGGGGATAGCATTGAATCTATAAATTACTTTGGGCAGTATGGCCATTTTCACGATATTGATTCTTCCTAACCATGAGCATGGAATGTTTTTCCATCTGTTTCTGTCCTCTCTATTTCCTTGATCTGTGGTTTATAGTTCTCCTTGGAGAGATCTTGATTCTTCCCTCTTTTCTTTTTTATTAACCTGGCTAGTGGTCTGTTGTGTTGATCTTTTCAAAACACCAGTTACTGGGTTGGTTGATTTTTTGAAGGGTTTTTTTTGTCTCTATCTCCTTCAATTCTGCTCCGATCTTAGGTATTTCTTGTCTTCTGCTAGCTTTTGAGTTTTTTTATCTTGCTCTTCTAACTCTTTCAATTTTGATGAAAGGGTGTCGATTTTAGACCTTTCCTTGCTCCTTGTGTGGGCATTTATTGCTATGAATTTCCCTCTAGACACTGCTTTAAATGTGTCCCAGAGATTCTGGTATGTTGTGTCTTCATTCTCATTAGTGTCAAAGAACATCTTTATTTCTGCCTTCATTTCATTGTTTACCCAGTCTACATACAGGAGCCAGTTGTTCATTTTCCATGAAGTTGTGTGGTTTTTGAGTTAGTTTCTTAATCCTGAGTTCTAATCTGATTGCACTGTGGTCTCAGAGACTGCTTATGATTTCCATTCTTTTGCATTTGCTGAGGAATGATTTACTTGCAATTACGTGGTCGATTTTAGAGTAAGTGCGATGTGGTGCTAAGAAGAATGTATATTCTGTGGATTTGGGATTGAGAGTTCTGTAAATGTCTATTAGGTGCACTTGGTCTAGATCTGCATTCAAGTCCTGGATTTCCTTGTTGACTTTCTGTCTCATTGATCTGTCTAATATTGACAGTGGAGTGTTAAAGTCTCCCACTACTATTGTGTGTAAGTCTAAGTCTCTTTGTAGCTCATTAAGGACTTGCTTTATGTATCTAGGTGCTACTGTATTGGGTGCATATATATTTACGATAGTTAGCTCTTCTTGTTGCATTGATCCTTTTACCAGGATGTAATGCCCTTCTTTGTCTCTTTTGATTTTCATTGGTTTTATCAAAAACTAGGCTTGCCATCCCTGCTCTTTTTGCTCTCCATTTGCTTGGTAGATCTTCTTCCAACCCTTTATTTTGAGTCTATGTGTGTCTTTGGACATGAGATGGGTCTCCTGAATACAACACACCGATGGTTCTTGGCTTTTTACACAATTCATCAGTTTGTGTCTTTTGATTGGGACATTGAGTCCATTTACATTTAATGTTAATATTGTTATGTGTGAATCTGACCCTGCCATTTTATTACTGGTTGGTTGTTTTGCCCTTTGGTTGGTGTAATTTCTTCATTGCATCATTGGTCTTTACCATTTGGTTCTTTTTTTGCAGTGACTGATACTGGTTTGTTTTTCCTTTCTGTGTTTAGTACTTCCTTCAGGAGCTCTTGTAGGCCAGATCTGGTAGTGACAAAATCTCTTCAAAATTGCTTGTCCATAAAGGATTTCATTTCTCCATCACTTATGAAGCTTGGTTTGGCTGGATATAAAATTCTGGGTTGGAAGTTCTTTTCTTTAAGGATGTTGAATATTGGCCCCCACTCTCTTCTGGCTTGTAGGATTTCTGCCAAGAGATCTGCTGTGAATCTGATGTGCTTCCCTTTGTGGATGACCCAACCTTTCTCTCTGGCTGCCCTTAGTATTTTTTCCTTCATTTCAACCCTGGTGAACCTGACAATTATGTGTCTTAGGGTTGCTCTTCTAGAGGAGTACCATTATGGTGTTCTCTGTATTTCTTGTATTTGAATGTTGGCCTGCCTTACTAGGTTGGGGAAGTTCTCCTGGATAATATGCTGAAGAGTGTTTTCCAGCTTGGATTCATCCTCCCCGTCATCTCCTGGTACACCAATCAGGCATAGATTATGTCTTTTCACGTAATCTCGTATTTCTTGAAGGATTTGTTCATTTCTTTTCACTCTGTTCTCTTTTCTTGCCTTCTCATTTTATTTCATTGAGTAGATCTTCAATCTCTGATATCCTTTCTTCTGCTTTATCTATTCAGCTCTTGAAACTTGTGTATGCTTCATGAAGTTCTTGTGCTGTGTGTTTCAGCTCCATCAAGTTGTTTATGTTCTTCTCTAAGCTGGTTATTCTAGTTAGTATTTCGTCTAACCTTTTTACAAGGTTTTTAGTTTCTTTGCATTGGGATAGAACATGATCCTTTAACTCAGAGAAGTTTGTTATTACCTACCTTCTGAAGCCCACTTCTGTCAATTTGTCAAATTCCTTCTCCATCCTGCTTTGTTCCCTTGCTGCTGAGCAGCTGCAAACTCCTGGTGGGGAAGAGACGTTCTGGTTTTTGATGGTTTCATTTTTTTTGTGCTGGCTTCTTCCCATCTCATTGGATTTACAGAGTTTTGATTTCAGGTAGCTGCTTGGGGAGGTGGCCTTTCCTTTGCCTGCCTGCAGAGGCGATGCTGGGCTGCCACAGATTCAGTGGAGCTGCTGTATCTTTTATTTACTTGGGAAAATTAGGCCAGCTTCTACAACGATTGTTTCCCTTCCCCACACTGAGCTCAATCATTCCTGGTTGCTCTCGAACTGATGTTCTGGGTGCCTAACTCTGGAGTAAGAGTTTTTTGGCCTGCTGGGCTTTGGGCAGGTGCACCCGTCCTGCCATATGGGCTGTTTCCCTGTGTTCAGTTCCCCTTCTTTCTGGGGGGCGTGTAGCTCCGTCCCACCAGCTTTTTGGCTTTCTTGGCATCAGCCAGTGCTTCCACCTAGATCTATGCTGACAGCCCTGGTCTCAGCCAAAGTTGCTGTTTTGCCCTGTTCAGGCTGCTTGCTGAGGCTTTTCAGCCCAGTGGGGATCTTCTGTTTTGTGGGTTGTAGAGGACTTGGGTGGAGTGCTATAATCGGAATGGAAGTCCCAGAGTGGGAGATCCCCAAGTCCTCCGGTTCATTACATGCACCACCTGGGTGGGGCTGTGCCCCCACCTTTCCTCAACTTGCCCCATTTGTTTATACCTACTGTCCAACCAAACCCACAAAATGAACCTGGTACCTCATTTGGAATTGTGGAGACCACTCGGCTTCTGCATCTCTCTTGCTGGGAGCTGCTTTCACAGCTGCCTCTTATTTGGCCATCTTGGAATCCCCTCCCTGATTTAGTTTTTAGACAAAGAACTTGTTGACTAAAGATGTGACCATGTCCAGTATTCACCATAGCAAGTATTCATTGCAATGATTCTCTTCTCCCCTAAGAGACCAATGGGTATTTACTCAAATGAGTATACATCAAGGAATATGTAATATTCACAGAGTTAACAGGCTACTGAATGCAGCATTCATGCTGAGACTGATATCTAAAGATCCAAAGCATCACTGTGTCCCCACTCTTACAGTGGAAACTCTTGGGGGTCAGAAGAGAAATGGAGTCCTGGCCAAAGACTGGTTTATGCTACGTCCACTGGTCTATGCAACCACTCAGGGATCACTGACTGAAATGTCTAATTCAGACTGTCATACTTGGCAGCTGGTACAATCCCCATGTTGAATCCTAAAGAATAACTATGGACTACCACAAGCTCCTCCAAGTAGTAGTCCTGATTGCAGTTGCAGTGCTACTTGCTGGAAAAGACTAATGTGGCTTCAGATGGTTCCTATGTACCTATTGATTTGGTGAATAAGTTCTTTTCTACCCCAATTAGAAAATAAAGTCAAAATCAGTTTGAATACACATGAAAGAGACAATAACATGTACTTACAATTTTGCCTTGGGGCTATGTTTATTCTCCAGTTCTCTGTCATGAAACTGGTGCTGGTTGGACATCCCACAGAACTTCATATTGACTGATTCCATCAGTGACATCACACGATTTGAAATGAAAAGAGATGGGTAATACATGGCTTTCTAAAGGCATGGTCACTCCAGAGGAGGGCAGATAAACCCTACAAAGCTCTGCGATCCTGCCATTTCATACATTTTCCCTGGTATACTACAGCCTTACTCAATGTGTTAGTTGTCTAGGACTGCTATAAAGAAGTATCACAGAGAGGATGGCTTAAAATGGAATTGTATTGTCTTGCAAGTCTGGAGTTTGCCTTTCTCCTCCTTGGCCTTAGCCAACACTACTATTTGGGGACTGATTGAATGCCTGCTAGAGAAGCATCAAATCCAATACGATGCTGCATCCCAACCAGGGAACCCATTCACATTGTTTTAATCTGCATCCCCATCAGGTCTCAGGTCAAACTGTAATCCCCAGTGTTGGAGGTGAAGTCTGCTGGGAGGTGACTGGAATGTGGGGGCAGATTTCCCCATTGCTGCTGTCCTTGTGACAGGTAGTTTTTGTGAGATCTAGTTGCTTAAAAATGTGTGGCACCTCCCCCATCTCCCTCCTCCCTCTGCCAGGGCCATGTGAAGTGCCAGCTTCCTCTTTACCTTTCAGCATGATTGTAAGTTTCCTGAGGATGGAGGTCTCCCCAGAAGCTGAGCAAATGTTGCCCTGCTGCCTATACAGCCTGCAGAATCATGAGCCAATTAAACCTCTTTTCTTCATAAATAATCCAGTCTCAGGTATTTCTTTATTGCAATGCAAGAACGGACCAATACAGAAAATTGGCAGTAGGTGTTGGGTATTGCTATAAAGATAACAAAATATGTGAAATCAACTTTGGAACTGGGTAATGGGCAGAGGTTTTAAGCTGGACAATGGGAAAAATGTGGAGGACCCAGAAGAAGACAGGAAAATGAGGGCAATCTTAAAGCTTCCTAAAGACTTATTGAATGATTGTAACCAAAATGCCGATAGTGATATAAACAGTGAAGGCAGACTGAAGTAGGCTCAGATTGAAATAGGTGACTTATTATAAACTAGAGCAAAGATCACTTTTGTTATGTTCTAGCAAAGAATTTGGCTGCATCATGCCCTGGCTCTACAGATCTGTGGAACTTCAAACTTGAGAGTGTTGATGTAGGGTATCTGGCAGAAGAAATTTCTAAGTGCAAAGCATTCAAGATATGTCCTGGCTGCTTGTAAAAACCTATGTTCATATGTGTGAGCAAAGATATAACCTAAAACTGAAACTTACATTTAAAAGAGAAGCAGAGCATAAAAGTTTGGAAAAATTGCAGCCTGATCATGTGGAGAAAAGAAAAACACATTTCTGGGGCAGAAATTCAAGCTGTGTGTAAAAATTTGCATAACAAAAAGAAGCCAGGTGCTAAGACCGAAGATAATGGGGAAAAGGCCTCAAAAGGCATTTCAGAGACCTTCGTGGCAGTCCCTCCCCTCACAGGCCTGGAGGCCTAGGAGGACTGAATAAGTTTATGGGTTACGCCCAGTGCCCCACTACCTTGTGCAGCTTCAAGACACCAGTCCCTGCATCCCAAACCCCAACTCCAGCTCCAGCTGTGGCTCAAAGGGGCCCAGGTATGGCTCGAGCCACTGTTCCAGAGAAAGCAAGACACAGCCTTGATGGCTTTAATCTGGTGTTAGGACTGCAAGTGTACAGAATGTAAGAGTTGAGTCTTGAGAGCCTCGATACAAATTTCAGAGGATGTATGAAAAAGCCTGAATGTCCAGGCAAAAGCCGGCTGCAGGGGCAGAACCCTCCTGGAGAACCTCTTCTAGGGCAGTAAGGAAGGGAAATATGGAATTAGAGCTCCCACACAGAGCTCCCATTGGGTGCTGCCTAGTGGAGGTGTGAGAAGAGGGCTACCATCCTCCAGACCTCAGAATGGTAGAGCCACGAAAAGTTGCACCCTGCACCTGGAAAAGCCACAGGCACTCAACAACAGCACGAGAGAGCAGCTTCGGGGGTGAATCCATAAAGCCATAGGGGTGGAGCTGCTCAAGGCCTTGGGAGCCCCCTTTGCATCAGCATGCTCTGGATGTAAGACATGGGGTTAGGGGAGATTATTTTGGAGCTTTAGGGTTTAATGACTGCCCTGCTGGGTTTCAGACTTGCATGAGGTCTGTAGCTCCTTTCTTTTGGCCAATTTCTTCCTTTTGGAACAAGAGTATTTACCTAATGCCTATCCCCCATTCTATCCTAGAAGTAACTAACTTGCTTTTGATTTTACAGACTCATAGGCAGAAAGAGCTAGCCTTGTTTCAGATGAGAATTTGGACTGTGGGCTTTTGAGTTAATGGTGGAATGAGTTAAGACTTTCGGAGACTATTAGGAAAGCATGATTGTATTTTGCAATGTGAGAGAGACATGAGATTTGGGGAGCCCAGGGGCAGAATAATATGGTTTGACTCCGTGTCCCCACCAAATCTCATGTCAAATTTATAAACCCCGGTGTTGAAGGTGGAGCCTGGTGGGAGGTGATTGGATCATGGGGTCAAATCCCCCCTTGGTACTCTCCTTGCAATAGTGAATTCTCATGAGATCTGGTTGTTTAAAAGTGTGTGGCACCTCCCCACCTTTCTCTTCCTCCTGTTGTGGCCATGTAAAGTACCAGCTTCCTCTTTACCTTCTGCTATGATTATAAGTTTCCTAAAGCCTCCTCAGAAGCTGAGCAGATACTGCCATGCTTCCTGTACAGCCTGCAGAATCATGAATCAATTAAACCTCTTTTCTTTAAAAACTACCCAGTCTCAGGTATTTCTTTATAGCAGTGTAAGAAAAAACTGATACATCCATTGTATAGCAAAAAGGTACAGGAGAGTGCTCATGAACATGGGATCCTCTGGTCATATTATGCATGCACTATCCAGAAGCTGTCAGCTAAAAGTGTTAGAATATCTACTGAAGGCACCACTGCCAGCTCAGCACAATAATATTCAAAATTGAGAAAAGAAAGCCCCATTTTCAGGGCAGAAATTCAAGCAGTCCATAGGAATTTGCAGGATAAAAAAGGAGCCATGTGCTAATAGCCAAGATAATGGGAAAAAGGCCTCAAAAGGCATTTCAGAGATCTTTGTGGCATGCACTAGAATACTCATCAAGGAAAATAGCAAGTGTTTCACTGAACTACAAGCTATGGCTGCCACCTAGGCACCTTGGGCATCTAGTGTCCAGGAAGCGGCAGGCAAGAAGAGGAGACATGATCTTATGAAGAGTAACTGATGCTGATCAGCAAAAGGAATGACTGCAGTTACAGAATGGGGATAGGGAAGAATACATGACAAATTCAGGTGAACCACCTGGACATCTGTTCATATACTTTTCCTAAATTTTAAAGAGAATGACAAATGTATCAACATGGGCCTGAGTACAGTAGGATGACAAGGGCCTCAGGCCATTTATGAATAAGGATTTTCAGTCACATCACAGAACCCTGGAAAGATGACAGATAAGGCAGGAGATTTAGAATGGATAGTGGAACAGGGAGATTATGAAATGATAGGGGCTATAGCTCCTCCCATTAACTTTATTGTGAGTCTCCTCTCATGAAGAGAGGCGTCTGTGCTTCAGAGGAACTGCTCTATGTGCACATAAGTAGATCTGTATTTCACAAGATATGTCACTCAGTTATACCTTGTATAAAGGAATTTCTGCCAGCTGTGAGGAGCTTGGTAAGCTGACAGCCTCCAGCTTTTAACTCTTTCAAGATCTGCCTCAACTTTTCTTAGTGATCCCCAGTCAATGAGTACAGTGGAGGTACTAAGTCCTGGCTATTTCATCCCATGTGGGATAACTTGTAGTGAGGAGTTCTCCACTGTGCTGGGTGAGTCTCTGAAAGTTTGAGGTTAGGGTTCTGACTCTGCTCAGTCCTGCTTCCTCACTTTTCTTTTCACAGGTGTTGCTTTCCCAACAAACCTTGTGCACTCCTAACTCTTGTTGTCTGCTTCCTGGAGATGCTAATCTGCAACAAATCACAATTGCATTGTTTTGGTTTGAAAGCAACAAACCATGAGAATAACTATTAAAAATATGATACTTGAAACTAAGCAAAAAGTTAAAATTATTTCACTGAACAGTTAAAATATGCAAACTTTCTCATTTAATTCTCAAGTATATGGTATTCAGTTTCTATCATAAAATGATATGCAAAAATAAAACAAGGTTGACAAGATAAAGCCATTCTTATATAAAACAAACTCTAGCATTTTATCCAACTCATTACCATAATTTTTTTTAAGATTTGGGGTCTCCCTATGCTGTCCAGGCTGGTCTTAAACTCCTAGGCTCAAGCAATTCTCCCAACTCAGCCTCCCAAAGTGCTCATTTCCATAAAATTAAAAGTATTTTATAAGTGAATAGATAGTTCCACCTCCTATAGTTAAAAACAAGTTAAAGAAGATAACTATAAATTATATCAGAAAGTAGAATTTAACAGATGCTAAATTAATTAGATTGAATGGCATAAGAAAGGCTGGGGATTTTTCCAGCTTTTACATTTAATTCCAGATATACCTGAGAATAAAGGACATAAGAACCTTACTCTAAATCACTATAGAAATTCTCTTCAAGTACAAAAAGACCATAGAGATCCATGTTTACAGCATCTGAAACTCCTATCAAGTGAATCCTTATAGTAATTCACAAAGACTCATCTCAAAGTCTTCCAAAAAGATGGCAATAACTAACCAGTATAATTATCGAATCTATCAGGGCTACCACTTATTACAATCATTTGCATTTCAGATGCTGTGCTCTAGCAAAATAAGGTTGTTATCTCAGAACCAGTTTTAAGAGGGGTGAATTTATTTCCCAATAAGATAAGGTGACCTATAGTGAAGAAACTGATGATCTTACAAGTTCATCCAGGAAAGTATCCAGCCTGAGGGATGACTCAGTTATAACTACTAACTACGGTTCAGGAACCCAGTAGTTAATGTGTGTCACAAACATTGAAGTTCCTTCTCTCCACCACATGGCAATCAGCAAACTTCTCACTATAAATAGAAATTCTCTGGCACTTATGCAAAAAAACCATGGCCAGTCCCTGGGAGAGAGAATTCCCTGTCCTGACAAATACGCATCAGCTAAATTAATCCCATCCATTTTTCCAACTTCTATAGCTTCTGTATTATGGCTACTAAAACCAGTGGCACGAATCTCAGTGGAGAAGAAATGAGAGACGTTTACATAATAGTGGAGCAGAGATAATTTTGAAGCAAAGGATGAGGAAGCTAGAAGAATGAAAACTCTACTCATCCCCCTGACCCTGACCCACATCATCTCCTTGGATACCAACCCAATAAATGTGGAAATTGGTACCTCTAGTTGGTATAGCTTTTGGAGAAAGAAAGGCCTTAGTGAAGGAGCAGGTATAAATTCAGACAAAAAAATAAAGAAAATAATTTGTGAATAAAGGGAATTTATCACAGGATTAAGGCAAAATGAATATGTTTACTCTTTTTAAACTGAAATTTAAATCACATATGATAAATTCTCCCTTTTAAGGTACACAATTCAATAGCTTTTAGTATATTTACAAATTTATGCAATTATCACCAATATCTTATAATATATTTTATCACATCAAGAAGAAACCCCATATTCATTAGTAGTCGTTGTCCAATCTCCCTTCCATCCAGCCCTTGGCAACCATGAATCTACTTGTCTCTACAGATTTACTGATCCTGGACATTTTATATAAATGTTATCATGCAATATGTAGTCTTTTTTTTTCTAGCCTCTTTTGCTTAGCCTGATGTGTTCAAGGTTTTCTCATGTTGTTGCATGTAACACTGTTTGACACCTTTTGATGACTGAATAATATTTTATTACACTTAGGAAGCAAATTTTTTATCCATTCACCAGTTGTTGGGTTGGACAACTTCCACCTTTTAACTACTATGAATAATACTGCTATTGACATTTGTGTATGAGTTTTTAAGTGGACTTAGGTTTTCAATTCCCTTGAATATGTAGTTGGTAGAACTGCTGACTCAAATGGCAACTCTACGTTGAACTTTTTGAAGAGCTGCCAAACTGTTTTCCATTTTCCATTCCTACCAACAATGTAATGCCTTTCATTTCTCTAGTCCTCAAGCTTCTTGAGGGTGAGAACTAAGTCTTGTGTTCTATTGTATCCCCAGAGCCTATAACACAGAACCTAATGAACTATGGTTTTCTATAATTGTGAGTGAATGGATGAATAGCAGCCCAAAATAATTTTTTAATATTTTTGCCTTCTTCTGGAATATCCCTAATCAAAATATACCCTCCTGATATCTTTAACTTTCATCTCTCCAGACTCTTTCCCCTATGAAGCTATTATGAGTAATTAGCATACTCCTAGATATCAGCACTTCTTGAAATAGGTGGTTTATGATTGCTAGACCAAATGATTGTGATCTACTTGGAGTTGCTCACCTGTGCATTAAAGAAGTTAATTTAAGATGATCTGATAGTGCAACCAAGTGTTTCCAAGTTGCCAGCTAGTAGGCAGTCAGATGTTCATGCACATTTTCAAAGTGATCCTCCAACAAATATAGGTACGGGACACATTTGACTCTAGGACACCATCTGCTGGCCCTGCTGTCAACAACACTAAATGAACCTGGAAAGGAATGGACTCCCACATGGGGCAAAAGGCAACATATGGTACCCATCCCATTACAAAGGCGACCAGAGAAGATCTGCAGATGAAAGGGCCTTCAAATTCTAGCAGCTCTGAATGGAGATTAGTCTCCCAAAACTGACTCATAAGTAGCCTGATGACTTCCAGCTCTGACCAGCTAAAGAGACTATTGCATAGAGGAAATACCTACTTTGATCCTCAAACACAAAATGGACATGTGACATGGATAGAACTTACACTTTAAACATGAATAACTCCTCTTAATATTAAATAGATTCCATCACTTACAAAATCGCATATGAATTTATACAAATTCCTTGTAAAATCTCACAAAAGTATTTCCATTTCCACTTCTGATAGACATTTATTGGTTCTCACACAAAACAAGAGTTTCCCTGATGTTTTACATAAGACACATTTCACACATTACATTGTACACATAACATCTGCAACATTTCAATTTTCCAAGAATAGAAGTTGATAGTGAATGACTATGTTCAGTAAATTCCTGAGATTTTGTGTAAATTACGTGTGATAAGCAGAATGCTCCTTTCTCACATTAATGGGATTAAGGATGTCCATTCTTCTAATCTTAAGAACTGTGAATATGTTGTATTACATGCCAAAAGGTCCTTTACTACATGAACACTTTCAAAAGAAGACATACATGCAGCCAACAAACATATAAGAAAATGCTCAACATCACTGATCATTAGAGAAATGCAAATCAAAACCACAGTGAGATACCATTTCATGAAAGTCAGAATGGTAATTACTAAAAAGTAAAAAATAACAGATGTTGGCAAGGCTGTGGAGGAAAAGGAACACTTTTATGCTGCTGGTGGGAGTGTAAATTATTCAACCATCGTGTGGCAATTCCTCAAAGACTTAGAGATAGAAATAGCATTTGACCCAGCCATCCCAATACTGGGTATATTCCCAAAGGAATATAAATCATTCTATTATAAAAATACATGCATGTATATGTTCATTGCAGCACTGTTCACAATAGCAAACACATAGAATCAACACAAATGTCCATCAATGATAGATCGAATAAAGAAAATGTGGTACATATACACCATGGACTAATATGCAGCCATAAAAAGAATGAGAGTATGTCCTTTGCAGGGACATGGATGGAGCTGGAAGCTGTTTTCCTCAGCAAACTAACACAGCAGTAGAAAACCAAAGACTGCATGTTCTCTCTTCTAAGTGGGAGCTAAATGATGAGAACACATGGACAGGATATATTGAGGGGAACAACACACACTGGGGCCTGTCAGAGTGGGGCTTGGATGAAAGGAGAGCATCAGGAAGAATAGCTAATGGATGGTGGGCTTAATACCTAGGTGATGGGATGATCTGTGCAACAAACTACCATGGCACATGTTCACCTATGTAACAAACCTGTACATCCTGCACATGTACCCTGAACTTAAAAGTTGAAGAAAAAATACACACAAAAAAGGGTCTTTGCTGATGATGTAATAAATGTTATAGACTTTAAAACAGGGGGATTATCCTGGATCATTATACACGACCAGTGTAATCACACAAGGCCTTAAAAGGAGTGATATTTCTTCGACCAGAGTCAGGAAAGAAGCTTCTTAGGAGGAAGTTGGAAAAATCTGAAGAGTCAGGGGTCTTGACCCACTGTTGCTGGAGATAGTGGGAAAGCTTAAAACGAAACGTGAGCAGCCTCTAGGAGCAAAGACCAGCCCCCAGATGACAGCCAAGGAAGTGGGGAGCTCAGCCCTATAATCATAAGGAATTGAGTTTGGCCAACAACCTAATTGAACATGGAGGCAGTCTGATCCTCAGAATCTCCAGACAAGAATGCCATCCAGCCAACATGAGGATTTCAACCTTTTGATATACTAAGCAGAGGGCCCAGCTAAGCCACACTGCATGTACAAAACAATGAATAAAGAAAGGTGTTGTGTTAAGTCACCAAATTTGCAGTATTGTGTTATGGCAGCAATAGAAAACCAATATATTCCCAAATATCAGTATGTTAAACTTCAGTATACTGTGGTTTTGAAACACAATTACCACTAGAACGGTCACTTCCAATTGCATATTCCCAGGACCAAGGCACATTCCACTACCAAATGTTGTGTATAATGAGTACATGGGAAATTTATGCTCATAATTACTGGGTAGTTTTAAAGATGTTATCTAATAATAATATACTGATTTTTAAGTAATTATCCCCAACATTTATACTTTAATGATGCATTTTAAAAAATGAAATAGATTATTACTTTGTTAACTAGTCAAGTCTTTATAAAGTTGTCTTACAAGTTTGGTGCAGTTCACTTTAGGAATATATCTCTTTCATTATATGTTTTAGTATATTTTATAGGATTTATTTTTAACATAACCACATATTATATACTAATATATATAAATTGGTCATGTAAACAATAGTGATTATCAATAAAGTTGAATGAATTAATGCTTAAAAAATGTGAGAACATAAATGATACTAAAGATTTACAGACCTCAAAGTACAAAGAATTCTAAGGCAAGTCACTCATATTTTTAGCATATAAATATATAAAACTAATAACATCAAGTTACTTTTTAAAAAGACTTTATTGGTATGATGACCATATTTTGGTATTTATACTTCTTAAATTAGTAGCTCGAAGTTGCATGTGGCTTTATTGCAAGCACATTACAGTTGCTTCATTTGCTCATCTGCAGAAGAAACACATGCTTAAGATATGCCAAGTTTTACCTGCTCCAGCCAGTGCTTCTAAATTAAACAATCTACACAAAATTGAATTACTCTAGAGATCTGGAATATAACATAAAATCTGGATTTGGAACATGGACACTTACTTTTTCTGAGCTCTTTCAGCCAGCCTTGCAATCTCTATAGTTGCTTTCCTTGCTTCAAAATCTTCCCTTTTCACTCTCTCTCCAGTCCCTCGGTGGCCTAGCTCCACCAACTGGCGGGCCAGGGTTTCATCCTAAAGAGAAAATCAGTGGGCAAATGAGACATAATTGCTTTTACTTACTTGCGTACATCCTACATCTGCAATGTATACCAAGCAATTGCTTTAAATAAAAAATTAAATTCATTTTAAAACTATACATGATCTATTAGATATAAGAAATGAATTTTTCTAATAATGCATTATACACATCTGATTTGGTCTTTCTTTCCCATATATTTAAGATGAAAAAAATAAAATGTCAATTGTTAACTTTTCTCTAAGGGATTAGAGGACAAAAGTCTGTTGTGTTTTTAATCAATTTATGAGAACAGCTGTAGGTAATTAATTTAGTATCTTTAAAATAATAAAACTAGAGACAATGGTGGTCATACACGAAATAATTTTTTAAAACAATGGCAAAAAAAAAAAAAAGAGAGAGAGAAAATCAGGCTGCTTTCAGAGAGTTCAATGTTTCAAAGCCTTACTCCCTTCAAGTCAATTAACTGATGGCACAGAATAGTATAACTTCAAATGCAAAATAAAGGGGATCAGAGGAATTTCTTACTTAACCATGAAGATTGTTTCCACATAATGTTGGCACCAATAAAAATAGGAAAGTAGAAACCCAAGATCACCACAAAAAATCTCAAATTGAAAAAAAAATTTCCCACAGTATTTTAGGCCTTAAACTTTTCTTACTTTAAGAATTATCACATACATTTTTGTCAGTCGCATGGTATACTTTAAAAAAAATGTTTTCTCATTATTTGATGAGGTACGATTTTCCATAAAGTTACTAGCATAAAGATTAAACTGTTAAACAACAGTATTTATATATTAATAATGGCCATTATCATTTTAATTAAATATAAAATATCTAAAACATGACGAAAACAGAATCTATTTTATTATTATGAACATTCAATTAGTATATCACGGTTAAATGCAAGAACTGTCTGAGAGTTAAAAGAGAAAACTTAAGATGTCTAGTTGTCTATTCCAACCATAGCGGTTAAAGTTATAAGTACTCAAACAAAACAATTATATACTATAAGCCTAGAAACCTGCCACTTTTCTTTTATAAGCATTAAAAGCAAATACTAAATTCCATGTAGCAATGTGTACGCATTTGTCAAATGATAACAATGCAAAGCAACAGGACTTGGAAAGCCCAAGGCTATTATTCTTATTTCTGAGACATTCCCTTGCTTAATAGATTTCTCTCTTCCTGTACCATTTAGTGTGAACCACAAAACTGAGCAAATACCTCCACCTAGTGGAATTAATCTTTAAAAGAAAAACCAATGCAAATTTGGGGATTAATTTACAAAAGTGAGATCATTTGAGTAAGAATTTTCTTAAATACATTACTAAAAGTGAGTTTGTAGAAAGGACTTTCAGCTCGGTGAGGCTGTTGGACTCTTCTGTAGGAACATAAATTCCTTGTGGTCAACATAGAACTTTGTGTAACAAAGATTACTTACAATTTGCTATGCTTATTCACTGAATGAATTTTATATCCCTGTGTGCTCTATCTGGGTTACACAAAATCATTTGGATAATTCTGGACTCGCCAATGCTAAACTATATTTCAACAAATGGCATGATCTATTGAGAAAACAAGCAGAAAGTCTATGTTGATTGCCTCACTTACCATTATCATGCCCTAAGCTGGTGGAATCACAAGTCATCTGTCCATTATGACAACATATTTCTTACATGTTTCAAAATATCCTAGTTAAGAGCAAAGCTACTAGCCCAAAGGAAGAATAATGCCCAAGTTTATCCCAGGAATCTGAGCCTTGCTTGGGGGATTTGGCTTAAAATGGAATCTTGACTTGCATATTCTAACACAACTTTTTTCCCAACCTCCAGAATAATGTCTTTAAGGGACACAAAGAAAGACAAAGTCTCAAAGACAAACTCTAAGGCTTGGCAGCTTTCATATTCCCAGAATCCAGAAGAATTTTCTGCCAAATACAAGGTAGACAGACTTGAATTGGAAAATAAAATCTATAGGTCCACTGGAAAGTTTGTTTTTTAAAAGATGCATATCCTTTCTACATTATCTGCCCTAGGATTCAAAATGTGAAATCTATAATAATCAGAAGGCTAGTGGCTGGCCACTCATCTCACAACTAAATGAATGCTACTAATTTCATTTTATCTATTTCTACTTACAAAAGTAATACATTATTGTTGTGGAAAATCTAGGAATATAAGACAAACATATCATTCACATCATATATCACTAAGATCTTATCATTCAGAGATAATCACTGACATCTTGGGGTATAGCCTATCAATCTTTGCTCTTGACATGTGTTGGAATTCTTTAAACAAAAGTAGTACCATGACTCCTGCTTGCAGGGCACAGAGAAGGCACCTAGACCTATCCTCACCAGCATGCCTTAAGTCAATACCACCTCCAGCACAGTCTTCAGTAGGGGCTCATGCACCCTCCAGCTGCACTGCCTCTGCACTGTGGTGAGTGTCTGCAAGGAGGTAGGCACCTCAGCACCTGCTAGCACTTTGCTGCAGTTGCCACACCTCTTTCCCCCTCCCCCACTCAGTGGATTCCAAACCTCAAGGAGCAAGAGAATAAAATCAGGGCCCAATACAAGTACCCCAGACTTAGAGCACACAGTCCAGGAGTTGAGAGTTGAGCACTGGCCCCCTAAAATCTCTCAGAAGTAAAGCCAGTCAGCTGAATCCACTTTATACCACAGTCAAACCCTCAAAGTCATCAAATAGGATAAAAGGAAAAGAAAACAAACCCATCCAAAGGTCAGCAACCTCAAAAATTGAAAGTAGATAAGCCCACCAGGGTGAGAAAGAATAGCATAAGAATGATGAAAACTCAAAAAGCCAGAGTGCATTTTTCCCTCTAAATGACCACGTCACTTCTCCAGCAAGAGTTCTGAACTGGGCTGAGAAGGCTAAAATGACAGAAATAGAATTCAGAATAGGGATAAGAACAAAGATCATTGAGTTATGGGAGTACAGTGAAGCCCAATGCAGAGAAGCTAAAAATCATGATAAATCAATGCAGGTTCTGACAGACAAAGTAGACAGTAAGAAAAGAACGTAACTAACCTGATGGAACTGAAAAACACAATACAAGAATTTCATTATGTAATCACAAGTATTATCAGCAGAATAGACCAAGTGGAGGGAAGAATCTCGAGCTTGAAGACTGGCTTTCTGAAATAAGACAGTCAGACAAGAATAGAGAAAAAAGAATGAAAAGGAATTTACAAAACCTGTGAGAAATATGGGATTAGATAAACAGATGGAATCCATGACTCATTGGTGTCCCTGAAAGAGATGGGGAGAATGGAAGAAACATGGAAAACATACTTCAGGATATCATCAAAAGAACTTCTCCAATCTAGCTAGAGGGGGAAATATTCAAATTCAGAAAATTCAGAGAACCCCAGTAAGGTACTTCACAAGAAGATCATCTCCAAGATACATAATCATCAGATTCTCCAAGATTAAAATGAAAGAAAAACTGTTAAGGGCAGCTAGAGAGAATGGTCAGATCACCTATTAAGGTAAATCCATCAGACTAGTAGCAGACCTTTCAGCAGAAACTCTACAAGCCAGAAAAGACTGGGGGCCCATATTTAACATTCTTAAAGAAAATAAAATCCAAAACAGAATTTCCTATTTGGCCAAACCAAGATTCATAAGCAAAAAAGAAATAACATCCTTTTCGGACAAGCAAATGCTGATGGAATTTTTTACAATCAGATCTGACTTACAAGCGCTCCTACAGGAAGCACTAAATGTGGAAAGACCGTTACCAGCCACTACAAAAACACATTGAAGTACATAGACTAGTGACACTATGAAGCAACCACAGAAACAAGTCTGCAAAATAACTAGCTAAAATTATAGTGACAGGATCAAATCCACACATATCAATATTAACTTTGAAGGTAAATGGGGTAATGCCCCAACTAAAAGACACAGAGTAGCAAGCTGGATAAAGAACCAAAACCCATTAGTATGCTGTCTTCAAGAGACAAGTCTCACAAGCAATGGCATAAATAGGCTCAAAATAAAGGAATGGAGAAAAATCTACTAAGCAAATGGAAAATAGAAAAAAAAAAAAAAAAAAAAAAAAAACAGAGATTACAATCCTGCAATCCTAGTTTCTAACAAAACAGCCTTTAAACAAAGATTTAAAAAAAATGACGAAGAAGGCATTACATAATGGGAAAGGGTTCAATTCAACAAGATCTAATTATCCTAAATATACATGCACCCAAAAGAGGCACATACAGATTCACAAAGTAAGTTCTTAGAGACCTTCAAAGAGATGTAAATTCCTACACATTAATAGTGGGAGACTTTTAACACCCTACTGACAATATTAGACAGATCATTGAGACAGAAATTAACAAAGATATTCAGGACATCAGCTCAGCACTAAATCAAACGGAACTGATGAACATCTGCAGAACTGTCTACTCCAAAATAACACAATGTATGTTCTTCTTAATGTCACCTGTTATATATTCTGAAATAGACCACATAATCAGAAGTAAAACACTCCTCAGCAAAAGCAAAATAACTGATATCATAAAAACAATATCTTGGACCAAAGCATAATCAAATTAGAAATCAAAACTAAACAATTCACTCAAAACCATACAACTACAAGGAAACTGAATAATCTGCTCCTGAATGACTTTTCAGTAAAAATGAAATTAAAGCAGACATCTTTAAAACTAAAGAAAACAAAAATACAATATGCCAGAATCTCTGAGACACAGCAAAGGCAGTGTTGAGGGAAATTTATAGCTCTAAATGCCCATACCAAAAAGTTGGATGAATCTAAAGTTAGCAACCTAATATCACAATTAAAAGAACAAGAGAATCAAAACAAAACAAATCCTAAAGCAAGCTACCAGAAGACAAGAAGTAACCAAAACTAGAGCTGAACTGAAGGATATTGAGACACACACACAAAAAATTCAAAAGATCAATGAATAGAGAAGCTGGGTTTTTTGAAAAAAACTAATAAAATAGGCCACTAGCTAGACTAATGAAGAAGAAAAGAGAGAAGGGTCAAATAAACACAATAGGAAACAACAAGGGGGATATAACCACTAACCCCAGAGAAATACAAACAATCATTAGAGAATATTAGAAACACCTCTATGAATATAAACCAGAAAATCTAGAAGAAATTGATAAATTCCTGGGCAAGTAAACCCTCCCAAGACTGAACCAGGAAGAAATTGAATCCTTAAACAGGCCAATAATGAGCTCTGAAATTGAGTCAGTAATAAATAGTCTACCAACCATAAAAGCTCAGGATCAAACTAATTCACAGCTGAATTCTACCAGATGTACAAAGAAGAGCTGGCACCATTCATGCTAAAACTATTCCAAAAAAATTGAAGAGGGAGATTTCTCCCTAGCTCATTCTACAAGGCCAGCATCATCCTAATACTAAAACCTGACAGAGATACCACAATATAAGAAAACTTTAGGCAAATATCCCTGAAGAATATTGATGTAAAAATCCTCAATAAAATACTGACAAACTGAATCCAACAGCACATCAAAAGCTTATCCACCACAATCAAGTTGGCTTCATCTTTGGGATGCAAGGTGGTTCAACATGTGCAAATCAATAAACATAATTAAATGCTTAAACAGAACTAAAGACAAAAATCACATGATTATCTCAATAGATGCGGAAAAGGTGTTTGATAAAATTCAACATCACTTCATGTTAAAATTCTCAATAAACCAGATATTGAAGGAACACACCTTGAATCAACCAGAGCCATTTATGACAAAACCACAGCCAATATCTTACCGAATAGGCAAGAGCTGGAAGCATTTCCCTTGAAAACTGGCACAAGACAAGGATGTCCTCTCTCACCACTCCTAGTCAACATAGTATTGGAAGTTCTGGCCAGGGCAATCAAGCAAGAGAAAGAAATAAAGCATATTCAAATAGGAAGAGAAGAAGTCAAATTATCTTTGTTTGCAGATTGTATGATCTTATATCTAGGAAATCCTATTGACTCAGCCCAAAAGCTTCTTAAACTCATAAACAACTTCAGCAAAGTCTCGGGATACAGAATCAATGTGCAGAAATCACAAGCATTCCTAAACACCAACAACTGACAAGCAGAGAGCCAAATTTTGAATGTACCCCCATTCACAATTACAACAAAGAGAATAAAATCCTAGGAATACAGCTAACAAAAGAGGTGAAGAACTTCTTCAACCTGAACTACAAACCATTGCTCAAGGAAATTAGAGACGACACAGTAGGTAGAAAAACATTTCATGCTTATGGATAGGAAGAATCAATATTGTGAAAATGACCATATAGCCCAAAGCAATGTAAAGATTTAATGCTATTTCCATTAAACCGTCACTGACATTTTTCACAGAATTAAAAGAAGCTATTTTAAAATGCATATGGAACTTAAAAAAGAGATCATATAGCCACGATAATACTAAGCAAAAAGAACAAAGCTAGAAGCACCACAGTACCTGACTTCAAACTACAAGGCTACAGTAACCAAAACAGCATGGTACTGCTACAAAAACAGGCACATAGATCAATGCAACAGAATAGGGAACTCAGAAATAAAACTGCATGTCTACAATCATCTGATCTTTGACAAATCTGACAAAAACAAGCAATGGGGAAAGGATTCCCTAACTAACAAACAGTGCTGGGAGAACAGGCTAGCCATATGGAGAAAACTGAAACTGGACCTTTTCCTTACACCATATACAAAAATTAAGCAGAGATGGATTAAAGACTTAAATGTAAAACCCAAAGCTATAACAACCCTAGAAGAAGATATAGGCAATACCATTCAGGACATAGGTATAAGCAAAGGTTTTATGATGAAATCACTAAAGCAATTGCAACAAAAGCGAAAACTGACAAATGGGATTTAATTAAATGAAAGAGCTTCTGCACAGCAAAAGAAGCTATCATCAGAATGAACAGACAACCTACAGAATGGGAGGAAATGTTTGCAATATGCATCCAACAGAGGTATAATAACAAGCATTTATATGGAACTTAAACAAATTTATGAGAAAAAATATCAACCCCATTAAAAAGCAAAGGACATGAACAGACACTTTTCAAAAGAAGACATACATGTGGCCAACAATCATATTTTAAAAAGCTCAGTATCACTGATTATTAGAGACATGCAAATCAAAACCAAAATGAGACACCATCTCATGCCAGTCAGAATGGCTATTACTAAAAAGTCAAAAAATAGCAGATGCTGGCGAGATTGCGGAAAAAAAAGGAATACTTATACTTTGTTGGTGGGAGTGTAAATCAGTTCAACTATTGTGGAAGACACTGTGGCAATTTCTCAATAACCTAAAAACAGAAACCAAGAAATATCATCACTCGGTATATATCTGAAGGAATATAAATCATTCTAGTATAAAGATACATCACACGAATGTTCATTGCAGCACAATTGACAATAGCAAGGGCACAGAATCAATCTAAATGCCCATCAATTACCTACTGGACAAAGAAAATGTGGCACATATATACCATAGAACACTATGCAGCTATAAAATGCATGTGATCCTATCTTTTGCAGGGAAATGGACAGAGCTGGAGGCCATTATTCTTAGCAAATTAATGCAGGAACAGAAAATCAAATACCACGTTATCATTTACAAGTAGGAGTTACATGTGAGAATACATGGACATATAGAAGGAAACAATACACACTGGCACCTATCAGAGGGAACAGAATGGGAGGAGGAAGAGGATCAAGAAAAATTACTATGGGTACTAGGCTTAATACCTGAGTGAAGAAATAATCTGTACAACAAATCCCCATGACACTTTTACCTATATAGCAAACGTGCAGGTTTGAACTTGAAATAAAAGTGAAAAAAAAGAAAAGTTATATATATGCTTTAAAAATTAAAATATGTTGCAATTTAAAAAGTTTAAATAAAGGTCATTGAAAAATTTGCAGACTTAATCATTCAAACATTTTACAAACCAAAGTGAATCATACTGCGTAAAATCGCTCATGACCTACTTCTTCAAAGTTTAACAGTACATCTTGAACACCTTTCCATTAAGTACATATACAATAAAACTTTAGTGATTACATATTCCATACAATCTGTAAGGACAGGTATTGCATATATAATAATTTAGTATTGTGTCTTTCGTTCACTGCCTTCCTCTGACAATGAAAATGATACGAAATCCTAACTTGATTTGCATTGATTTGATTACTAGTGAGATTCACCATCTGTTCACACATTCATCAGTCATATGCATTTCTTCCTTTGGAATTGTTTTGAATTATTAAATGAACCCTTTGCTCACTTATTACTAACTAGTAACAACTTTGTGTATGTAATAAATAAATAAGTGTCTGCAAAATATCTACAACAGTTTTCCTAGGTCAGTTTTCCTGAAATTCTTAATAGGTTTAACACCAAAATATTCAGAGCATTTAGGATATATTTTGGTGCCTGTTGTTGAAAAAGAAATGCTTTTACTTTTTCAAAATGTTTTTTTATTCCAAAAGACACAGATGAAACATTAATTGTTGAATATTGCTTTTTTCTCCACTGATTTGAAATTTTACAATTTTGTATATTCGATTCTTAAATATATTAGAAGAAATTTTTCTATTTCTATTCTGTACTATTAATTAGTTTCTCTGCCCTCTCAACTGTATCTGTGTCACAAGTAGTGTGGATACTGCTCTCTCAACCCGCCCAGGGAGAAAGCTCCACCACAACTTGTTTGACCTCCACAGATTTCAAGCTTCACTTGTATCAAGCTAACTGCTTCCAGGTACAGCTACTTGACTCAAGACAGAAAGGTCAGGGTTGGGAAAGTCAGAAAGCATGGCATATTCAAATGCCATATTCTACTAATTATGGCAATCTGGATAATTTGTAATGGCAGGTTTCCTAATGTTAAAACAATATGACATTTTTGGAATAAGCTTATAGCAGGAGGCATCTCCCCAAAACACACTTCGGGATGTGGATTTGTGTGCAGAAACCTTACTGGAGAGCACTCCCAGCACTTGCACTTCCAGTGGCGTGAAGAAAGCAGGATTGGGCAGTGAGATAATTTATAACAAAGGGTCTCAGCAGCTCTGGAGTTGGAGTGGTCTCTTAGAGTTGACCCAAATCGATTAAAGTGACCACATCTTTGTAACTCATAATAAGCAGTAATTTAAAGAGAACTCCCTCAAGAAGGAAATATGACTTTGGAAAAGGTGAGTGTTTAGGGTGACTACAATCAGCCTAGTAAGGAGTTTATCAATTTTACTGATATTCAAAAAAGCAACTTTTGATAGCATTGACCTCTATTATTTTTCAGTTTTCCATTTCATTGATTTCTGCTTTTATCTTTGTTACTCCTTCTGTCTATTTACTTGGACTCAATTTGTAATTTTTTAAAGCTTCTTAAGGTAGAAGCTACTATCATTTTAATTTCTAGACCTTTCTTCTTTTCCCATATATACTTTTTGGTGGTGGTTATTGTTGTTGTTGTTGTTGTTGTTGTTGTTGTTTTGAGAAGTTCCTCTGAGCTACTTAATTTCCACAAAGTACCCTCCCCCAGCAAAAAGGAAAAACCACTACAAACAGAAAAACTCCTCAGTTCCTGAAGTACACTTAAACCAAGTACACCAAAGATAGTTTGGGGTTAATGTATATATTTTACAAACATTTTCTTATTTCTGAAATGGGCTTTGTCAAACAGCTTTCTTCAATGAAAGCTTTAAATCATTTCTTTTTTTATCGTTTAAGAATAAATTTTATTTATTTATTTATATTTTATTGCATTTTAGGTTCTGGGGTACATGTGAAGAACATGCAGGATTATTGCATAGGTCCATACATGGCAATGTGGTTTGCTGCCTCCATCCCCATCACCTATATCTGGCATTTCTCCCCATGTTATCCCTCCCCAACTCCCTATCCCCCACGGTCCCTCCCCTAGTCCCTTCCCCCCACAACCACAGTGTGTGATGCTCCTCTCCCTGTGTCCAGGTGTTCTCATTGTTCAACACCTGCCTATGGGTGAGAACATGCAGTGTTTCATATTCTGTTCTTGTGTCAGTTTGCTGAGAATGATGGTTTCCAGGTTCATCTATGTCCCTACAAAGGACATGAACTCGTTTTTTATGGCTGCACAGTATTCCACAGTTTTTTATGGCTGCATGTATATGTGCCACATTTTCCCTGTCCAGTCTATCATCGATGGGCTTTTGGGTTGGTTCCAAGTCCTTGCTATTGTAAACAGTGCTGCAATGAACATACGTGTGCATGTGTCCTTATAATAGAACGATTTATAATCCTTTGGATATATACCCAGTAATGGGATTGCTAGGTCAAATGGAATTTCTATTTCCAGGTCCATGAGGAATCACCACACTGTCTTCCACAGTGGTTGAACTAATTTACACTCCCACCAACAGTGTAAAAGCATTCCTATTTCTCCACAACTTCTCCAGCATCTGTTGTCTCCAGATTTTTTTATGATGGCCATTCTAACTGGCATGAGGTGGTATCTCAATGTAGTTTTGATTTGCATTTCTCTAATGACCAGTGATGATGAGCATTTTTTCGTATGTTTTTTGACCTCATATATGTCTTCTTTTGAAAAGTGTCTGTTCATATCCTTTGCCTACTTTTGAATGGGTTTGTTTTTTTCTTGTAAATCTGTTTTACTTCTTTGCAGATTTTGGATATAAGTCCTTTGTCAGATGGGTAGATTGCAAAAGTTTTTTCCCATTCTGTTGGTTGCCGGTTCTCTCTGATTGTTTCTTTTGCTGTGCAGAAGCTCTGGAGTTTAATTAGGTCCCATTTGTCTATTTTGGCTTTTGTTGCCAATGTTTTTCGTGTTTTAGTCATGAAATACTTGCCTATGCCTATGTCCTAAATGGTTTTGCCTAGATTTTCTTCTAGGGTTTTTAACGTGTTAGGTCCTTTGTTAAAGTCTTTAATCCACCTGGAGTTAATTTTAGTGTAAGGTGTCAGGAAGGGGTCCAGTCTGTGCTTTCTGCACACTGCTAGCCAGTTTTCCCAATACCATTTATTAAACAGGGTATTTTTCCCCCATTAGTTGTTTTTGGCAGGTTTGTCAAAGATTAGATGGTTGCAGATGTGTTGCATTGCCTCCGAGGCCTCTGTTCTGTTACATTGGTCTATATCTCTGTTTTGGTACCAGTACCATGCTGTTTTGATTACTGTAGACTTGTAGTATAGTTTGAAGTCAGGTAGTGTGATCCCTCCAGCTTTTTTCTTTTTGATTAGAATTGACTTGGCTATGCAGGCTCTCTGTTGGTTCCATATGAAGTTTAATGTGGTTTTTTCCAGTCCTGTGAAGAGGGTCATTGGTAGCTTGATGGGGATAGCATTGAATCTATAAATTACGTTGGGCAGTATGGCCATTTTCACGATATTGATTCTTCCTAACCATGAGCATGGAATGCTTCTCCATCTGTTTGTGTCCTCTCTTATTTCATTGAGCAGTGGTTTGTAGTTCTCCTTGAAGAGGTCCTTTATATCCTTTGTTAGTTGTATTCCTAGGTATTTTATTCTCTTTGTAGCAATTGTGAAAGTCAGTTCATTTTTGATTTGGCTCTCTTTAAGTCTGTTATTGGTGTATGGGAATGCCTGTGATTTTTGCATGTTGATTTTGTATCCTGAGACTTTGCTGAAGTTGCTTATAAGTTTCAGGATATTTGGGGCTGAGACAATAGGGTCTTCTAAATATACAATCATGTCATCTGCAAATAGAGACAATTTGACTTCCTCCTTTCCTAATTGAATACCTTTATTTCTTTTTCTTGCCTGATTTCTCTGGATAGAACTTCCAATAGCATATTGAATAGGAGTGGTGAGAGAGGACATCCTTATCTTATGCCAGATTTCAAAGGGAATGCTTCCAGTTTTTGCCCATTCAGTATGATATTGTCTGTGGGTTTGTCGTAAACAGCTTTTATTATTTTGAGATACTTTCCATCAATACCTAGTTTATTGAGAGTATTTAGCATAAAGGGCTGCTGAAATTTGTTGAAGGCCTTCTCTGCATCTAT